TATGTGGCATAGCCCTGTTCCTAATATTTGTTTTTAAGAAATGAGGGCCTATAGCTCTTATTAGATTCTCAATGGAGTCTAAGAGCCCATAAAGGTGAGGCATCACCAGGAAAGTGTTTGAAAAGGTGGTAGACTCCAGAGTTACATAGACCTAGTTCACTTCTGCCTTCAGAAATATGATTTGTGGCAAGCCGTTCAACCTCTCTGAGCCTCAGTTTGTTCTTTTATAAAGTGGAGGCAACAATCTTAAATGGTGTAAGAAGTAAATTTATCTAGTGCTTCTAAAGGGTTTGGCACATGATGCCACAGAGAACAATCTCATTAAATAATTATCACCATTAATAATTACAGTGTCACTTTACTTTCAGAAACTAACATCATTTCACCAGATATGATTTTACTTTGAAGTTCTGTTTTGCCAGTAGGATTTAGGTAATCAGTAATCATACTACTCATATCATTTTGAGTGGAACACATGATTTTAACTAAAATTTACTAACTATGACACAGAGATCATGGTATTGAGCCAAGTGGTTAAAATCGTGCTAAAATATTTTGGCGGCCAAATTTTTAGTTTTGCTTTGTGGGCCCAGAATATCAATGTTATTCTTTGTAACATGATTAAAATGGAAAATAGTGAATATTCCCTCACTAGAGTAAAATTAACATACTCTTATTCAAATGTATTAAAATAGTCCATTTGTCCACACCTCAGTTATTTAATGTTTAGTATCTAGTTTAATTAAAATGATAGATTTATTTGATAAAGAAATGGTGATTTTTATGTTCTTATGTGTGAATTAGTCCCTGCTACAGACTTGTAGATTTTTCTTTACTCTTATAATAAATACTTAGATCAGGCTATATGCTATACAGTGCCAAAGAAAATTATAGTGTCTTTAATAATCTCCAAAACTCTGATTTTAGAAGCGGCATAGCATAATGGATACGTGTCCTTTAGACAAAGAGATCTGGCCTTTACCAGCACCCTTTGACAAATTAATTTCTCTTAATGTCCATCTCTGCATCTTTAAGTAATAGAGAGTAGTGTTTATATCACACAGTTGCAAGAAATGAATGAGCAAGTGTATGCAAAGATTTGCACGAGTACTGGCCTGTATTAGATGTTCAGTAAAAGGGGCACATAGCACACAACATATCGTGTCTCCCTGTCCACTCTGCTAAAACCACTTAGAGCTGATGAGTTTTGAAACCGTCCCAGGACATACACAAGCCCTAACCTCATACCAGTTTCTGTCTGTCATGAAGTGTCCCGAGGAAGTTACTCTGTTCTTTTTACTCTGTTTTTCCTTCTCTTTGGCAATGTCCTTTATTTCTTCATAATGCAAGAAAGAGGGAATAGGGGAGTTGGTTATGGGGGATGCCAAAGGTCGAGACCATAGTTGGGTCTTTTTGCTTGCCTAGTGTTCTCATGGGAGGTGGTAGGAAGGAGAGGGATTCCTTTTTTTCTGTGGCAAATGCAAGCATGAACCAGATTGCAATGAAATAAGTATCCCAGAATTACTAAGTAAAATCTTTGGATGGTTGAATTCGCTGACATAAAGTTAATTAAGGGCTAATAGTCCCATGCCTAAGTGTTTGCATAAACATGATATTTAATAGAGAAAAATGAAACCATAAAAAGGTAATTTTCTTGATCAAAATTATTGCAAAGCAAAATGGAGGTACATAATTTTGAGGGATGGTTGATGTTTGAAGGATGAGCTCTTCATTGAGTCCACTTATTTTTAGGTCAAGACTGGACATAGACATGCACGTGCGGACGTGCAGCTAGGCAGATAGACTGTACTTTCCCCCAGCTTGCCTCCTTGCCTTGCTGTCCCCATGCAGTTTCCTGTCTCCACGCTTCTGCTGTATCTCTGCTGTCATGAGTGTTCTCTTCCAGGATGTTATACTCTCTGGTTTGGAAAGTCTTTTCCTGGAGCATTACCCCTTTAGGGACTAGTCATAGGGCAGAATGGTTTAGTGAATGGGGAGCAGCATAGAATTCAGGACTTGGGCTCTTCTGTTCCACCTCTGACCTTACCCCAGCTCAGCAAGTCCTGATATATGTGAAAGTGCCTTCTCTTATTAGGTGTTCGATAAATGGTTTCTCAACCTCTTTGGGCATCACATTATTCATCTCTAAATGGAAGAGGTTGGATGAGATGACCTCTGAGGACCCTTCCAGCTCTAAATTCTGTGATTATATTCTAAATGTTAGAACAACATGGTACTTACTGGCATTACCATTAATGAAATTACCCATCATTTATCTTATAAAGAAAAAGCACAAACCGATACTAACAAATAAGCCAAGCTTGAAAATGAGAGTGTGTAGATTTTTGTAGTGCCCACAACTCTCTGGTGACGCTGGTGATAAATGGGAATGTCTTTGAAAAAAAAATTCCAGTTGCTCTGGGCTGACCTGACCTATCTTTTTGTTTGGGACTTGGTTACAGCAAACATGTCCTCGCCCGATGTAATTCTCCGTGCTTGAGACTTAGAACATAGCTGAAAATAAAAGTTGTGCTTAATATCTGTTGATAAGAGATTTTATAAACAAAAACAAACAAACAAAAAAATGCTCTCTTCTATCCTTTCTCATCTACTTTCTCACTCTGACCTTGCCTCATCATTCAGAGAGGAGGTTTGCCAGAGGTTACCAGGTGGGATTGCTCTCAGCTTCTATTCCCTTAATCTCTACCAGGACACATCAAGTTGCAGTCCTCATCTTTCTCCTTCTGTCACAGTGGACGAGGTGTCCTGCCAAGACCCAGGGCCACAGTCTGAACCCTGGACCTTACTTCCTGTTAACAGCATTAGGTCCTCGATCCAAGTCTTCTGGTTCTCTCTTCTCTTTAAAAACCACACATCAGTCTCCAGTCATCCCAAACAGATGTTTAGTGACAAGATCCAGCCCAGTAGTCCTGTTATTATATGACAAAATAGAACAGAACAATTTCTCCACTGGTATCTCATTTCACATGACTAAACCATTAGGTTGTTTTTGTTTTATCTCATTTTATGTCATCTTAATGTTATTATTTTATGTGCCTCACTCAGAATTGGATAACAGAAACGAAGAGATTTCTTCCTTGTTGGGCCTTTCCTGTAAATTTCATTTCCAGGCTTGCTCCAGATTGGGCTAAAGGTTAAGTGAAGTGGGAAAACCAGAGGAAGGCAAGGGCCATGAAGCTGTCCTGAGGCAGCCCATGTGAACAGTTTCTGTCTCCGATTTTACGCCGTGATCTATTCCTCTCATTGCCTGTCATCCCCATTTCTTCCTGGAGGGGGTGTGTCCTCCTTTGGGTCCCCTCTGCAATCCTGCATGGCCCACACCCTCTCAGGCAGGTGGCCTGTGCTGTGCTCCACCAGCACGTTAGCTGTCCTCCCCGGAACTGCAGCTCTCACCACCCTCTCTCTTTCCTCCGCTCTCAGCGGAGGAACTTCCTCTGAGCATCTGCTTTTGCACTAGTCCAACTTTGTCAACCTGTCTGCAGATTTTTCTCCCCAAGCCGTACGGGGCGTTTCTGTTGTTCATTGTGTGTGTCTGGTTATCTCATTTCTTAGGAAGGCCTTTGCTTTTGCATTTCACCCTCTTACTTTGACCATGAGCCCCAGATAACTTCTTCTTCCCGGAGTTCACAAGAACTCTTTAATATTTTCCTTTCCCCGTTTGCATTGCACAGCTCTCTAGAGATAAGTAACAAAGGGAATGAGAGTGGGCAAACCACAGGGCTGGATTTGTGGATGCCAGACTTAACTCAGCGCTGTCTTTGACTAGGTTTTGTTACTTGAAGCAAGTTACATCACTTCCCTGCCTTGGTTTCCTTTTCTATAAAATGTTTATGAAAGCGTGAATCTACTTACATTCTTGGGTTCTGTGAGAATCACTAGAGATAATTTATGGAAGAATTCTCTGGAAGGGTAAACTGTTATCCACACCTACTGTTACTTCTGTTAAATTTACCAGCAGCAGCAGTAGAATAATAACATTCCTAATTCATCTGGGCCTCACAGCAAGAACTTTTTACCTGAGTGTAAAATAGGTACAGGGCCTGTCCCCAATCTGACTGTCAACATTTTAAGCATCTTCCCCCCCCAGGCTACCCACTGGGGACGTGCACTGTGGTCCCCTTAGGTTCGTTTGTGGGCAGAGCTGACATCCCGGTTTGTTAGCGACTGCTGGGTAGCTCAGCTTGTAAGGGACTTGTCACTGAAGATGATTAGTGCCTCAAAGTGACGTAGACCAGATTTAGACCCAGAGGGCTGCCTATCCATATGCCCAGGTCCTTTGTACTTTCTGGTAAGTGATGTTTCTTTCTGGAGATGCTGGATGAAAGTATTCATTAGTCAGAGCCTCCCTCCAAAAAAGCGTGACAATTCCCTTTGTCAAGTTTTTCTGCCAGAAGATATCGAGCCACGCTGGTCCTTCTCAGCGCACCTCTGGGTTCTTTTGCAGACTATTACCTTTGTGGTTATGTTAGAGAAACTTACGTGAGGATTTTTTTGTTTAGTGCCCTTGCATAGAGCTAGAAACAGTATCTGGGAGACATGTTGTTACTGTCAAGTACACGGCATTTAAGCATGATGTCTCTCTGTGCTGGAAAGCGCAAACCCTCATTTCAAGAGATACGACTGCCTCCTTTCACTTCCAAATCCCCTTCCATTGAGTCAGCAACACGGTCCCTGCCAGAGCAAATGGCAGAATCAGGCTAGATTAGCATGCTTGCCAACGATTTAGGTAAGAGGCACTATGCAAATGTCTACATCATTACAGCTCAGGACTCTGTTTCTAAAAAATACTTTCTCACGATTTGTTATTAGTATTTGTAATGAGTTGATAAACTCCAGAACCTTTTTCTGTCATGAAAAGCAAGTCATTCCCAGGAGCTGCATTTTTTCTTTTTTAAACTTGAACTTATTCCCCTGAAACAGCCACATGTCATCACCATGCTTTTCTCTGTCTAATATTGTTTTGTTTTCCTCTGCTATAGGATGGTCGCCTGCGGATGAACGACCAGCTGATTGCAGTTAATGGGGAATCACTTTTGGGAAAGTCTAACCATGAAGCTATGGAAACGCTCAGACGATCCATGTCCATGGAGGGAAATATTCGAGGGATGATCCAGTTAGTGATTCTGAGGAGGCCGGAGAGACCAACCGAGGTGATTCAGATCTTGATTTTCCTTAGCCAATTGCCCAAAGGGCCACCAGGATATTCAAACTTCCATGGCTAGTATGGTAGCTAGAGTCATATTGATTCTCTAGTTGGGAAAATATGCCACAGAAGGGCTTTGATGGATTTATGTGGGGAACAGGTGGTTGTATATTTTAGGTATAAAGATAAGGTATAAAAATGTGCATATAAAGTAAGTCATTTATCAAATGTAACAGGTTCATACTTTCTGGAGTTTTTTTTCCCTCCAGAAATTCCAAGAGCTCTGGACTTGTTCCTAAACATCTTTATATACTTGGTTGATATGCTAGCCTTGGAAAGTTCCTAATCAGATGATCCAAATGTTTGATGTGCAGATCATCATAATGCAATCAGCTGTCCAGATTCTCCCCCATAATCTGCACATAAATAATATAGACCTGAGCTTAACTAATTTAAAGTGAGATTTATTAGGCGAACTGCTTGCTCATGTTATTAAATAAGTAGAAGTCTTTTCTTTTTTTTTTTTTATGCTTGCTTTTGGATTTTTTGTTACATATCAGGAATATTTTCACTTACACATGAAGTGTAAGCATAATCTTGAATGCTAATATCTGTAAACATTTCACTTACATATAAAATAATAAATGTAAAATTTCGTAACATATTATTTTCTCTCCTATATGAAGAATAATTATGAAATGCTCCTAAAATTATTTTAGGAAAAGATAAGAAGAAAAGTTGAAAGCGCTAAAAGTTAAGAAAAAATATCAGCAAACAACACATTGTCAAATCAGCATATTCTGTCCTCTGCTGCCAAATTATGTTTGTGAAACACAATAACGCCCAAAGTGAAAGTGGAATGCTACTAAACATACACTATTAAACTTAGTTTTAATAATAAGTTCAACTTGGGCGGCACCTGTGGCTCAAAGGAGTAGGGCGCAGGCCCCATAAGCTGGAAGTGGCAGGTTCAAACCCAGCCCTGGCCCAAAACTGCAATAATAATAATAATAATAATAAGTTCAACTGAAGAATTTTTTTATCAAATTAAACAAGAGTAGATGATAGTGGGGCTCTTTGTAGTTAAAAGTTCATACTCTGGAGTTCTAAGTTGCTTGGGTTAAAATCCTAGGTTTGCTGTTTCCTGACTGTATAACTACATACGTAGTCAAGTACTCAGTGTTTGTAGGTAACAGATGTTGTTCTCTGTTTTATTCCTTAATGTCTCCTCATTTCCAAGCATATAGGAGACAATAAATATTGTTGAATGAATGAAAATGTTGTATCTGAGACCTTCATCTGGAAGAGTGGACTGGGTAGTAATGTTATAAGCTGTACCTTACTTTGCTATCAGTCATGGGAAAGAAGCAACTATACCTCTTATACTCTTCTGCGCATAACCTTGTAGATGTTAAATAAATGTAAATTGGCCAATTACTGGAGACTAAATATAATGAACAAACTCATTTTCAACATTTGCGTCTGCGTCTGCTTAAGTGACAGAGTCTTCCATGAATATTTAGTGGGCTTCACTTATGTACATATGCCCTTATCTACCACATCCTACCCTAAGAGAATCAGTTCCATCTGGTGTAATTTGGTTCTTACCCCAGAGCCCTAGGAATGCATGGAACCCATTTATTGGAGACGACTGAACAGGTAGCCTCTGAGCATCTGCATAGGTGGTTTTAGAACTCCCTGAAGGTTTCCTTAACAAAGATACCTCCACAGATAGAAAAGTCTGGAAGACACTGTTACAGTGGATCATACCCAGGGAAGTGGCAAAATAGAAAAGAAAGAAATGAATATGTTTCCAAGAGATTTAGCTATGCTCCCTCCTCTGATCTTCCCTGATTTCTCGTCTTTATCTGACCCTTGCGAGGACGCTGATGGGTGGGCGTTACGGTCGGTTCCCTTTGCCACCTGCTTCCCTCTTCTCTGCAGGTCTTTTCCTTTTCATTCTCACACTTTGGGGCGGATTAAGATTATTCCATCAGAAGAAAGTAAAAATCTTCCAGTTTCGTTGCCCATTCTCAGAAGTGTCTTGTTAATATAGATCACTAGGGAATCAATCGGGAACAAGAACTGGGGCAAAAAGCAATTTCTGTGAGGACATTTAAACAAGATCCACTTTTAGTTTCCCTAATATTTACACGCTTTCCATAGGGAATGAGCTGGCACTTGACTCTCAGCTATGGAGACTCTCTGTGGTACCCATGAAGATTAAAGAACATTATTTCTTATAAAGACAGCAGACTAATGTACAGCTTATCTTTATTAAATTGGAAAAAAAACTTTTGCCGCTGTTTCATCTCCCAGATCTGTATTTTACTGTGTCATAGCGTATATTATGTACTCGTGTTTGGGGGATATTCTCCTGTGGAACAGCAACCACCCTCCAGTATAATAAAAAAGCAGCATAACCTAGAAAAAGATTTCAACACTGTTGACACACTCAGGCAAATCAATTAGTTAGATTTGGCAAGAATACCAAAACGGTTGCTTGAACACTGTATTGATGTTAAAAAGAAATTCAAGAAGCTACTTAAGAGAAGTCAAAATATATAGTTGTTGGAGGTTTTTTCCCACATTACCCAGATGTACAAGGTATGTAAACAGTTTTGATGAGGACCTCGTGAAGAATACATAATGAGCCCTTGATTGAATCAAAATCATTTTAAATAGAAACATATTTTTCAAAGGATGAGCTTGAGGTTCAATTGTAATTCTATTTGAGCCTGGAGACTTGGTATTAAAAAATGGGTTATGACCTGATTTTGTTTTCCCCTTCCCCAAAACATTTCCCTCCCCACTGCCAGCTCATCTCGGTAGAAGCAGAATATGTTTAAAAATCCATTATATTTTTTATTGGCTGGGACACTAATGGAGGGTTCCACGACAGCTCTATTTTACAGGCTGAATACTTTAATTAGGCTGGTTACTGATCAGTTGTTGGGATATCGATTGTGTCATTTATCAAAGAGCTGGGAAAGCAGAAAATTTTTTTTTTCTGTTCTTGTTGTTATTGTTAAATCAAAGCACAGGCTGTGCAAGGCAAGTCCTACCTCTGCTGCTGGGGAGGGCTCCAGCTTTAATTCAGGAGTAGCCTGCCTCTCCCGTGTTAGGCTCGGTTTGACTGGCGACACCCAAGGCGAGGGTCTCACGCTGGGTGTGGGAGAAGTGTTACAAGCCTGACAAAAAGCTGAAGGGTCTGTAGCTGCTAAAAACATTTTAATTATTAAGAACCACCTGCATTAAATGTTTTCAATATTTTGTATACCTAGCTAGCCATTGAATTATTCTAATTAAAGATGAAAATATAAATCAAATGCATTGTTTTAACCAAATGCTTTTCTCAGAAGGAGACAGCGTTGGAGCTTAGATCTGTGCTCCTATTTGTGGCATGTTCCTTTCGCAAATGATCCAGGGAACAGCCGCGAGATGGCTTCCAAATTATTTACTTCATTAAAATCTGTTAGGGAGACAAATAATATGAGCCAGAGCAAAACCCAATTCTCTATGCCTTGATTCTCTTGAAAAAAAAAAAAAAAAAAAACAGGCAGAGTTCTCTATAATGGGCCCCCGCCTAGTACCTCTTCAGCCCCCATGGAAGATGGCTTGGGGGGATATGATTCTGGATAGAGCAGTTTTAAGGCAACTGTGTATTTGTTTACAGTCTGTAAAAATCAAAATAGGAAGGGCAAGTACAGAAAAAAGGGGGACGAAAGCCTCAGGAGAACCGCTGTCTGGCGTTGTCACAACAGTTTGGTGTAGCTTCTGGCCAAAAGACCTAGCGTCTGCAGGCGGACACACTCCTGACATTTCAGAGGCAAACCTGCTTGGGTTCTGACTTGTCCTAGAGCATATGCACTTAGCCGCCAAGAGAGGGAGAGAAACCAGCTGGTTGGCAGAGAAACACCCTTGGCATGAACTGTATTCTTGTGTTGACACTGCCACAAGCTGCACTCCCAGATGGAAGAAAATTTGAAAGAAGCCAGTTGTAAGTGGGGGGAAAATAATAAAGTTAATCCCCTTTTGTGTTGGCTATCAGCACTCCTAATCCTTCGCACCACATTGTCAGTATTTTTTTTCATTATTTCATACTCAAAGATGTTTTAACTGATAGGGCCATTTTGATTTTCTACAGTTGAGAACTTATAGGCAATAGAGTCTGGAAAGGCTATTCATAAATTGATCGTTCTTTCACTTTGCTTCAATTGACTAAGTTGGAACATATTAAAGAAAGCAAATGTAATTTTTATTTTCATCCGTTAGGAGCCTGCAGAGTGTGGGGCATTTTCCAAGCCGTGCTTTGAGAACTGTCAAAACTCTGTAACCACCTCCAGGCGAAATGATAATAGTACCCTGCATCCACTTGGCACTTACAGTCCACAAGACAAACAGAAAGGTAAGAGTCTAACCATTTTCATCCCCTGTAAATGGAGCGAGAAAATGCAAAAGTGCCTTTTTATAAAAAAAAAGGAAGAGAAAAGGGAACAAAGGGGAGTTAATTAGACTAAGTGCAGACTTTGTTACTCAGAGTCATGAACACTGACAGAGGGGTGGGAGAGCTGACTCAGACTTGTGAATCAGATTCCTGGCAAAGCCTCCAGTTTAAATGACAGTTTCTATGCTTGCTGCCCCAAACATGGAGGGTTATGTATAAAACAAACCACGACTGGAGGATCAGAGATGGTAAACTGTTATTTTTTTTAAGCTCTTTTAATATTGGAAAGTTACTGAGTATGAATAACTACTAAACTAAAAAAAGTATGGACTTGTATTAAATCCTAAAATGATCACAGCGTGATTTGCAGATTTATGCTTGATTCTAAGATGCATGTGCTAAATAGGTAAATATCAGGGCCCCAAACGTGTGATGGTTGGAATTTTCTTGTAATTATCTTGTTCCCCGGTCTTTCCTTTATTGTCTGTTAAGGATCACATTTCTAGTAGACTCCTAAGTTTTCTTCTTTGTTTGACAAAAATTATACGTCGTCAGGTCATCAAGAACATTATTTTATTTCCTTGTATCTCTTTGCTTTAATGACTTTCATTTTTTTATATTGCAAAAGCAATACAGATTCATTGTAGAAAATTTAGAGAAAAGCAATGAAAAGAAAATTTAATGTTATTCATACTTCCCCGGATCAAGGATCTTAATCAATAACATTTTTGTGTATGTCATTCATGTCTTTTATTCATGCAAATATGTGTACATAAAATGAAATGAAAGTGAAATGTGTTGTATGTAATGTTTAGAAAATTGCTTTTTTAATTAGTAGCCCACTATGAGTGTCTGTGTCATTGAATAGTCATCAACAACATCATATGCAGTAATTGCGTGGTAGTCTGTTGAACAGATATCCTAGATATACCAGATATAATGCAATCAGCACCTTATATTCTTGGACACTTAAGGACTTACCAAATTTAACTGTGTGGGAGCAAGCTCCCCACTTTGAGATTATTCTCACAGAATAGCCTTATACATCTGAGGTTGCTCTAGAATCAAATTGTCTCATCAGAATGGGACGTTGCTTTTTCATCAGAATTCCTCCATTTTAGTGAGAGTAGTAGCAACAGCTGTTACCATTTATTAAGTGTTTACTGTCTGTTAGATACTGTGTTGGGCAATTTACATGCACACTCAAAAGTGGGTAATATTATTATCCTTATTTTACGGATGAAGAAGTAGAAAGTTAAAGAGAGTAAATAGTTTTCCCAAGACGGCATACCTGATACATGCAGAGTCTGGATTCGAGTCCTGTCTTTCTGATTTAAATTCACCTTCTAGACCAGTGTTTTTCAACCTTTTTTTTTTTTAATCTCATGGCACACTTGAACCTATCATCAACTATCTAGGCTGACTATAGGCACAATTAAATTATGTTGATCAAAAAAAAAAAAAAAGAATAAAGAAAAGAATATACTGACTGTGCTTTGAACTTCTTTTGAAAGTAATTAGTGACCTGTAAAACTTTTCTCAGTGCACCTGAGATCCTCTCAGGTCACACCGGTTGGAAATCACTGTCCTAAACTGTGGGGTAGGCCCGGACTTACATCTGGCCCTTGGAATACTAAAGTCCTTTCACATGATAGTGAGAATGTCCATTAGAAGCTGGCTTTACTTTTTATCTAGGTAAAGAAATACTCAGCGTATTTCTTTTTACCTTGAAGAAATTAAAAGTTTTCTTGATAGAGTAAGATTTCCTTCTGAGACTTTAAATCACAATAGTGGGAGAGTCTGGAGAAAGAACAAACTACAGAACTGACTTCCTTCTATTGTGCCCACCTTATGATCATAAATGTGACATCTTTGACAAAATGTCTAGCCCTCTCTTTGTACCCTCAGTGATTCCCCAGCAACAACAAAAATGTCCAGCCCTCATATAATTTGATTGGCTCTTAATTCTCAAGCAACACATTCTAAAAGTTTAGAATTTTATTCCTAATCACGCCAATGGCATCCAAGGGAACGTTGAGAAACTTTACCTCCTATGTTGTTTTAGTTTCAGTATCTATGAAATACAGTCATGTACCATATGGACCAGATCTATAATGGTGATCCCATATAGATTATAATGGAGCTGAAAAAGTACTATTATCTAGTATTTACTGTGCTGTACTTTTTAATCATAATTTTAAAGTGTACTTTTACTTATAAAAAAGAAATAGTGCCTCAGGCAGGTCCTTTGGGCAGTATTCCAGAAGAAGGCATTATAATCACAGGAGACCAGTCCCATGCATGTCATTGCCCCTGAAGACTCTCCCAGAGGACAAGATGGGGAGGTGGAAGACTGATGATCCTGACCCTGTGTAGGCCTAGACGAGGATGGATTTGGGTCTTATTTTCAGGATATGAAGAAAGGAAACATATTTTTGTACAGTTATAAAATTTGTTTACATTTTAAGCTAAATTATTAAAGAGTCAAAAATTAAAAAGTTTATAAGTACAAAGGTTACAGTAAGCTAAGAGAAATTTGTTATTGAAGAAAGAAAACCTAAGGGTACATATTTATAAAGTCTACAGTAGTGCACAGTAATGCCTTAGAGACTTCCATACTCACTCACCCCTTGCTCACTCTCTGACTCTCCCAGAGTCCTGTTCCCAGTTCTGCAAGCTCCAGTCATTGTGAGTCCCAGCTACAGATGTGCCATTTTCTACCTTTTAGATCATAGATTGCACAGATCTTTTCATTATACATATCTTTTCTATATATGTACATGTTTAAATACATAAATACCCTTGTGTTACAATTACTTAGCAAGGTTTGTCCAACCCTTCTTCTTATTCTGACACACATTGGAAGAATAAGAGTTGTCTTGGGCCAGACATTCAATACACAAACACTAAAGAAACCCAATTAGCAAACAAACAAACAAAAAAATAGGTCCGCGATATCTGTCGCCACAGATAAGCCAAAGAAGTCCTCACAAAATCAGCATGCAGCCTACAGGCCCCAGGATGGGCACCCCTAGCCCTACAGTATTCATTACAATAACATGCTGGGTAGGTTTTTAGTGTGGGAACAATAGGCTTTACCACATGGGCAAGGTGTGTAGTAGGTTATACTATGTAGGTTTATATATGTACAAAGCTCTGACAAAGAACTTGCCACTGTGCAGTTAGGTTGGCAGCACTGTACAAAAAATTTAATAAGGTTTCATAACCTTGGTATATCCGTGTCTCACAGCTGTGTTCGTGTCAACATGTGACAGTGTGTTGCTGAGTGGCATTCATTATTGTTGTTGAGTGGTTTTGTGTGCCATTGTGAAAATGTCAGAGCTTGAATTATAGTCACTAACAAACATTTGTAAATTTTTTATTAAACTTGGCAACACTGGAAATGAAATCAGGGACATATTAACCCAGGTTTATGAAGATAATACCAGGAAGAAAATATCAGAGTACAAATGGATTCAGTGTTTTTCTAAGGAGAGAGAAAGTGTCACTAATGAAGAGAGGTCAGGGTCTAGTAGGGAACAGAACTGATGAAAACATTGCAAAAATTTATCAAAATCTTTGTCTGATTGTCAGAAGCATAGCAGACCAAGTAAACAGAGAAACATTGCTGGAAAAACTTAACTGAAATCTTGGCCAACAACTTATGGCTCTTGCATCATGACAATGCACCAGCTCACACAGGACTGTCTATGAGGGAATTTTTAGCCAGTAAACAAATAACTGTATTGGAACATCCTCCTTACATACCTGATTTGGCCCTCAGTGACTTTATTTACCCAAAGATAAAAGAAATACTGAAAGGAGGGACATTTTGGTGACATTCAGGTAATCGATATAACAACAGCTTTAATGGCTATTCCAGAAAGGGTTCCAGAATTGCTTTGAAGGGCTAACTAGGTTCAGGCGATGGTACATAGTTTACCTAAAGGAGTACTTGAACGGCGACCACAGTGATGTTCTCCAGTGGGAAGCACTTTCTTCTAGGATGAGTTTGTAAATTTAATTGTCAAACCTTGTATGCTCTGTGATACTTACACAATAATGAAATCGCCTAATGATGCATTTCTCAGAATGTATCCCATCATTAAGTGATGGGTGACTTTAACTCTATTTCTTTTAATAAGTGACTCTGCTAAACTTATTTTTCTTAAGGCAGAGAAAATCTATTATTCTTTCTTTGTGGATCTGTGTTGCAATACTAAATTACAAGAATTGGGCCTATCAAAACAAAGACTCATTAAATTTTAATTCTTTTAATTTCTAGTAGATAGGATTTCCTTTTTATATAAGCCTATTGATTTAAAGACAAAAAAAAGTTTAATGGAATTTATAAACATGATGCTACAGAAGAGTATCATGTTCATTACCTCTTTATAATATTATTAATAATAACATTTTACATTTTGAAAGCTATTGGAATTTCCTAAGTTTCAGATGCGTGTAAGGCAGTTAACAGGCCACTAAGAGGACTCATAAAACCTGAGTGTTGACTCACCACTACCAATTTTTTAAAGGACCTCCTTTAGAGAAATAAGATTAACTTGACAAAATATAATGTCTAGTGAGGAGCGAAAATGTTACAGCCAAAACATGAACTTTTTTCTTCTTCCCTTTTTTCCTTTTCTTTGTATATTTAAAAATTCAATGTTGATATTCTGTGCTCCATCTATTTTTGTAATAATAGTACATACCACCCACAGCTCTTGGTTATTTTATTTTATGTTTTTATTCCTGTCAAGCTGTTACACAGAAAAGGCATTTTTAGAACTAATGTTTGTAGAAATTGTAACACCAGTAAATTCACTTTAGTGTTGAAGAATTGCCGGCAATGCCCATAAGTGAAATGAGAGTGGTGCTCCAAGAGGGTGATAAGGATGGAGGCTGTATCCCAAGGGATTACTATACCATCCTGTTAAGCCTTCACATGACAATGGAGGGCACTGACACTGCTACCTCTCCCTTCACTGCTCTCTTCTCCTCTTCCATCCTCTCCTTCTCCTTGCCAACCCCACTGTAGCTCAAGGGTGCCCCGTCACTACTGTCCCCAACTCTGAGTTAGGCTTCATTCCCCAACGTTAGGCTTTTGTCCTTACTTCACATTAGACCCTCACACTCTGTATTCTGTCCTCCTGGATCTGTATTCCTTGGGGTCCTTTGTGGAGACACAAATAGTATAATTATTCCTAATGTGTCTCTGCCTGGGAACCAGCATGCATCTCCCCCTCTGTGACATGTAAGTCCTTTACCTGTGGAATGGGTATCAGAGATTGAATTGTACCTGTCAATTTGACTAATGTTTACTGCAGAATATGCTATCAGGAATGCAAAGATGAATACAAAGCCACCATCACCCTCAAGAAGAGTCTAATGCAGGGGTTAGCAAACTTTGTCCTCAGAAAGCCAAATTATAAATATTTCATGCTTAGTGGATGATAGAATCTCTTTTAAAACTCAACTCTCCCTTTGTAGCATAGAATAGTCCTAGACCAATGACATGGCAGAGTTGAATAAAACTATTTACAAAACCAGATAGAAGATCAATTTTTGGCTAGGATCATAGCTTGCTGGTCCATTCAGTTATTAATGAAGACAAGTACCTTCCATTGGTGCCTGACCACCTTGCAGCACCTCCACACCTGGCTTTGAGGTGGTAGTTAATGGAAATGGGAGAGAGTGGAGAAGGTATATCTTCTCTTAACCACTAAGACTGGGAATGACATTTTCCATAGCAACTCATATTCCTTTGGCAAGAGCTAGTCTATGGACAAAGAGGCCTGAGAAATGGTATCTAGCTATACACCCAGGAAGAGATGAAATGTGCAGATTTTGTGAGCACCACTTCTCTTTGCTACTGTTACGAATTTACTGACAGATTCTAGACAACAATAAAGGCTTTATGGAGAAGGGGATATAGGAGGCGAACCTTAGGAGAACAATAGGGCCACAGCAAGTGCTGTGGCTTTTTCAATTAGATAAGCAAAGACATTGAGGCAGGAAAGCCCAGAGGTGTGGTCTTGGGTGCTAATGTGTTATAGAAGATGAAGTTGGTTGCCAGAATCACAGATCTTTATACTGTAAGTAATTGTGTGCAGCTGAGGTGATTTTGAACAACAAGTTACGTGACCACAAATATTTATCACCAGTGTAGAATATGGGCTGAGAGGCTGCGGATAGAAAGATTAGAGAGAGCCAAAGATAGAGCCAACAGAAAGAATGTTGCACCACTGTGTGCCTTCTCCCCTATTCACGTTATGGCCCTTCTGAACTATTTCTCTCAGAAGTTTCTAGCTGCCTGACTGCTGCCACCATGTCCTGGGTCCTTGGGGGGAGGCAGAAGCAGCGGCATTGCTGGCTGCCTCTGCTCAGCATGGTTCTTTACCCTGGTCACCAACTCCTCAGATTTCCCGCTTGGATCCTGATTTCCAGGGACAAGTCAGCGTGGCAACAACTACCCCATGTCATTCTAGTCCCTAGGGCAGATTGGAGTAGGTCCTTACCTGGTGTATTCATCAGGGCTCATCAGAAAAACAGAACCAATGAGATGGAGTAGGGGGGACATGTTTATCAATAAAGAGACTCTGTAAGGAGTTGGCTCAGGAGCTTATGGAGACAGGCAAGTCCCAAGATCTGCAGGATGAGTCCCCAGCTGGAAACCTAAGAGGGCTGATGGTGTAGTCCAAGTCCAAAGACCTGAGGACCAGTACAGCTAAGGGCATGATTTCAGTCCAAAAGCTAGCCGGCCTGAGGCCTAGGAAGAGCCAGTGTTTCAGTCCACACTAAAGGCAGAAAAAGCTGATGTTCCATTTCCAAGGTGCCCCTGCGGGAGGATTTTTCTCTCACTTGGGAAAGGGTCAGCCTTTCTGTTCCATCCATGCTGTCAGCCGATTGGATAAATGTACTGACCCACATAACAAGGGTAATCTGCTATATCCAGGCTCCTGTTTTAAATGATAATCTCACCCTAATCCCCCTCACAGAAATTCTCAGAATGACATCTCATGTCCCAGTCAGGTTGACACTGGCTTGTGGAGGAGTCAAAGTACTTTCCATCACCAGCCGCAGTACTCAGCCACAGAGAGACTTGTCTGTTCTTCTCTTCATCAGGAACAGATGGGGTGGGTGCACACGTAACCAAATATCTCAATGGAAGAGACACTCAAGAGAATTTATGATTTATGGAATTATAATTCCTCACATTTACTTAACACATTGCACCTGTAAATCACCATTTGGCTACATACCATCTTATTTAATCCTTCTACACCTCCAGTAAGTTATTCTTATGCCACTTCATAGGTTTAAAGACTGAGGCCTGGAAAAGTTGAGTAATTTGCCCAAGTGCACGCAGCAATAGAGGAGGAGACACGGCAGTTTTGCTCCAAAAGCCGAGATGATCTATGATGTTTTTCATACATTAACATCATTAATATTGTTTTGAATTATAAGCTTTAAATGACATAACAAGCATAATGCTTAGCACAGCATCTGGTATACAATAAGATCCCCACAAACTTTGCTTGTTATTAATTGTAGTGATATTCAGTCTACATATCTATTTTTCTAGGACAGAACAGACTAGAAAAGTATACATTCTTGGTACATGAAAAAATCAGGATTTATTTTTATTTTTATTTTTGTGTTTCTGTTTTTGCATATGTGGCTCAAAAGTGTAGTGCATCAGCCCCGTATGCCGGAGGCTGTGGGTTCAAACCCAGCCCCGGCCAAAAAAAAATCAAGATTTAGACCCCAGTCTTTTTTCTCACAAGGCCTTAAACCCATGTGTTTCCATTAGGGCACAGATGCACAAAGAGTGTTTTTTTTTTTTTTTTTTAATCCTCTACTAGACGTGATAAGTAGTTATACTATATCTCATGATTTTTAAAGTTTCTTGTTTGAGACAAATGCTTAAATCACCACATAATCTCGAGTATTCATTATAGGGTCTTGTTTACAAAAACATCAAGGCATGAAAGAGATGACTCCGTTAATCTTCCACAAATCACGGGTAATGAGTATGTGTCAGCCTTCCGTTGGTGGCAAAAGGTAGTCAAGATGCATGGACTTGATTTGCCAGGGGTTGCCAGCAGGTCAGCAGTGTAAAAACTTATTAGCAGGCTTAGCTTTCCTTGCCCACAAGCTGCATTAGTTCTCATAAGAAACCTTTGGTTTCTCATGAGGACTTATTTATTTCAAGGCTAGTTTATGTGTTGGTTAGAATTGTGTGTAAGAGACTGAAACAAAAGCAGCCCCCAAATGGTGCTGCCTCGATTTTACTACAGCTCCATTTATTCTGTGTCTACAGACCTAGTGCTTCCCACTGACGGATGGGCTGAGAGCGAAGGACCACCTTCCCCACCACATCCTGGTCTGGAATTGGGCCTCGAAGATTACAGCCACAGGTATTGAAAAAATGATATATTGTAAATGTTCCCCGTTATTGTTTTTCTGGGGAGACTTGGCCACCGTATTTTAACTCTATTTCTTTCCAGAAAGGAAATGTTATAGTATCTATAATTCCTTTCCAATGAAAGCATCTCATAGGTAATAGCTTAGATGGTTCATATTTTGCTTCCCAGAATTTGTTAAGATCCATCTCATATTATTAAAATATTTAAGAAAACAGTCGAATTTTCTTTTAGAAGTGTAAAAGCTGGAGCATTAGATCTCAAAGAAAAGTTATATGGGAAAGGCTAAAACAAAGCTGAGAAAGCATAAAGCTTAGGGGGGTTTTTTTGTATTATTGTTTATAATTGGCAAACCCTAAAGGTATTTTAAAAATAGATGTTCCAAGAAAGTTAATGGAATCTAAAAATTAAAGCAACACCATACATAATCTAAAATATTGAAAAAAGTACCCAATATTATATCCAGTCTATAATAGAAACCAAAAAAATCAATAAGTTTTAGAATCACGCAAGCATGAGAGAGAGAGATTTACTAAGCATACATGCTATTTGACTAGTGGAATTCATAGATTTTGTTCTTCTGATGAGTTTTAAAAATCATTAAATTGTCCCTTTGCTGTTTTCAGTATTTATTATGGCTGTTAAAAACTGTGTATTTTATTCCATTCTGTGTCCCATGATAATCCTGTGAAATTTGTTCATTTTTCTTGCAGCAATGCTAGTGTCATTCCCATTATGCTTTTTAATACAATCTGCTAAAAATACAGCAGCACACCCAGAGTATAGCTAACTCTATTAGATGGAAGCTTACCTATACTTTGCTGCCTCTGGTTCTTATATTTTTGAGGTCACTTATCTTAGTAAACTACAATTTCATGAACTAGATTGATAATCCCAACAATGTTCTAGATCAGTATCTCTGGGGACGTTATAAAAAAAAAAAAGGTGGACATATTTCATTTTTGTTCATTAATTTCCATTGTCTCCCTCAATCCTGAACCAAAAATGACAACTGGGTGGTATAAAACATTCATTTTAAAAATCATTTCATTCGTTCTGCTTTATTGTCTATCCTGTGCATGTGTACAAAACAGTTGGGATGGTACGAAGACGAATCAGATATAAACCCTGCTTTCTAGAAGTTGGTAGGCTGGTGGGCAGACTCATGTGCCAACTAGAACACAAAGGGCAAATAGATACTTACCAGAAGGTAAAATGCCCTGGGCCTCTGAGGCAGAGGAAAATGCTTTCAGGGAGAGGAGTCAGGGAAAATGCCACGGTAATATCGTCCTTCTTGCTGAACCTTAACTCATGAATGGAGGGAGGGGCGTGAGGTGAGCCCAGGAAAAAAGGGAATTTCAGAGAGAAAGAGGGAAGGGCAGAAGACAGGCAGGGAGGTGGGAAAGTAAATTGATTATGCACATGGTCAAGCCCAGAGTGCAGGGATAGGCGTGCAGGCTCTTTGCACATAATGAATTTTACTGTAGGATTTTTGCAGACAATAGATGTGATAAAACCTGGGATTTTCTTGTATATAACGTGAACTGGATAAATGGAAGAGAATTGATGCCCATTGGCACCAGAGACTCTCTGGTCCCTCCTGGGGCTCTTGTAGTCAGAGGCCCCAAGGACCTGTGCAGGGGAAGATGGGGACAGTGGTGCAGGTGGGCGAGGTAGGTGTCCCAAAGATCATGGCAGGGACAGAGTTACTGGCATTTAGCAGCTGCTGTTTTGGCTTCTTCAGTGTCTCCGTGGATTCTTTCCCTTCCCATTGCTCTGTGATCTTCTTTTGGGGGGGGGAGTGGGTAAAGCTTATATTGGTTCTCACCACTGTAAATCTTCATTACGTGGTATGAATGAGTAACTTCCATTTCTCCTTCACCCTCCTGCTCCCTAAAGGCCTCTATTCTCACTACTTTATTAGAATTGTTTTCTTAATTGTTAGTAGTAATCTCCTTTCAGTCAAAAGTATGACATTTTCTCTGACTTTATTCTTCGTTTCCACTCTGCAGTATTTGTTTATTAAGTCTTTCGTTCACTCACTCATCCATTCAAAAATATTTCTGGAGGTCTGAGCCAGGCACTGTAGAAAGGAACTTCAAAGGATTGGAAAACATCCCTGCCTGCAAGAAATGTGGTGTCCTCTTGAGGAGACAGAAGCACAGCATTGCTAAGCATTAGATACAAAATATCACTGGCACCCAGAGGAACTAGCTTCCAACCCCACGTACAGGTGTCCAGGAGGGAGAGCAGCGTTTAAGTGATTTCTTGGAGTATGGAAAAGAGCTCACCAGTCAAAGAAGTGGTGGGAAGGGCAGTTTAGGGCAGGAAACTCAAGCAATGGGAGAAGGGAGTGGATCGTGAATTGAGTGGAACTGAAGCTGTCGTATCTAAGGGAAGAGTCAAGGGTAAGGCTCTGCCCTGCTACGGGAGCACATGCTTCCTCCGAGAGCCGAGAGCCGGGAGTCGGTGATGCCAGGCTGAGAGATTTTAGTTATGCAGGGTATAGTGGATGGGGGAAGCCTCCACAGATGAAGAGGCCAGGTGGACGTGGGCGTAAGGAGAGAACAGCAGGGACGAATGGAGGGAGAAGCCGCCAGGGTGGAGAGGAAAGAACAGAAGCATTTTGAGATGGAAGGGATAAGTCTTAAGCCTTGAAACTCTCCCTCTCCTGGGAGCCTGTGACCCACACGTGCTGCTGGCTGCCGCGTTGCCTAGGTGACCAGCAGCAGCAGGGTTTGGATGTGTGAAAGTTGGGATGGAGGGAGGATTGGAAAGGAGCCAGGAGGGCTGTCCTGTTTTTTCCAAACAAATGTAAAAGCCTTCTAAAAGGGAGGAGAAGGAGCACTCGAGGGATGGAGCCGAGTCTCAAAAACCAGAAAACGCTGTTGCATGAGGAAGGAAAAGCAGATCTGCTCAAACATAACGCCCAAACAAAAGGAAATCAGGAAACTGCTGAACCTGGTTGTCCTATTATGTCAATGATTATTAAAGTTTAGAATATGTGAATTTAAATAAATAAGGGAAATGTATTTTGTACTGAGAGATCTCAGGGAGAGTCGAAGGCACATCCACAGCAGGCGAAGTGTCGTGAATGTCACCAACAGTTTGGGGAGCGTTTCCCTGTTTCCTATGTGTTAGCATTTTTTTTCTTTCCCTCTCCCCCTCCTCTCTCTCTCTCCCTGTCTCCTTCTCTCCATCCCTGTCTCTTTACTTCCCACACACACCTCCATTTACTCTCATTCACAGGAGCCACTTGCTGGGGGCAACCCAGGGACACCTGAGGCGGCAGACATCATTTTTTTGGCGCGCCTCTCAAAATCTCCGTCCCCAGCTTTTTACTTCAGTGAGTTCTCCTTGGACAGTCATTGCTGGATCCTCTGTGTCTTTCAGATTCCTGGTTTGTCACTGTCGTCAGGACACTGGCACATGCTTCATGCCCCCTCATTTATTCATTAGGCAGCATAATTTGACACTGAGTACCACTTCTCTGTGGTAGGTTCCCTGGTTGTTCAGGCTGAAAACACGGCCTTTATCTAAGACATGTCTCTGGCCTGCTGTCAGCCTCCAGCTTCCCACAGCCCCTCCGGCAGCCCACTCAGCCATGAGCATGGACCAGCTCCCTTCAAAACGAAAATGTGTCAGATTTCATAGTTAATCATTGTGTCACCCTCTCAGGCCAAACACTTTCAATATGTAGCATAAAATTACAAACCACTTTATTGGCCTAACTTACATGTCTAAAATATTTTCACATTAACTATTTCAATACTACACTCACTCATTATTTCAATGAACCGTGTGTCCACATGGGCTGTAACCCCATCATGTCTTATGTTACACTCACTTCCGTCCTTAAATATCTGCCAGTCTGGTATCAGCCTTATTTTGCCTTCTTTCTACTTTGTACCACCGTAAAAGGTAACCCTTTATTGATGGTTTTCTTTTTCTTTCTTTCTATCTTTCTTTTTTCTTTTCTTTTTTTTTTTTTTTTTT